TAATCTTGCCTAGCTTCAATCTGTCACTTTCTGTTTTATTTCATTTACTTACATTTGTTTGGTTTTTCACAATAAATAAGGCAGTGTGACTTGTTTTCAGTCATAATGCTTGTGAAAATGATATTAATATAAACAAAATGAACAAGAAAAAGTGTGTTCTTTGTTAATTGAATATTGATCCCTTACAAGCACAATTTTTTTTCACTTTCTTTCATCCTTAATGTTTTAAAATTTACTTCATTATTTCAGTGTTGCTCATTTAAGCACAAATTTGCTTTGATAAAAATATGAATTTAAAAAAAATATTTTATAATGTTGTCAAGATTGAAAGTTGTTTTGAAAACATACAAGAAAGATTAAGCAAATATTTTTTTAATTTTTCAACGTTTATTAAAATCATCCTCAGGAAACTATGAATGGGAAGGACTTTCATTGTTCATTTATGGGAGGACTTACATGGTGATATTAAATAAATGTTATAAATTATAGAAAGAAATGATAGCAAAAATATGTGATATGCATTATTCTTATGATAACTACATTTCTGACCCCCACCCTTCCACACTAAAAAAATTAGCAGAAATAGGCCAAAGCCTAAATTCTTGAATATTTAAAAAAAAAGGTTTGATTCTCATAAGTGAATAGTTGTATTCTAAAAAATAACAATTAAAGGTTATTTTTCACCATGACAATGCTCCTGTCCACACTGCAAAGATGATGTCTATGTTTTCTGTGAGTGACTTACATCAGCTTGATTCATTTAATATATACACAAGCACACCAACACACACATGCAAACAATATGACTGTAAATAGTATAAATAAAATACCCTTTATCAGATATGATAGAATGATTACATATCATTTGTTAGATACATTAGGTTTCTAGCTTTTAATCATTTCACACCCAAGCAAGGCAATAAAGCCACTAAGATGCAAGGGATTAAGAGCAAACTTGACTGGAAAGCAAGAAGCCAGAAGAGAGTTCCACAAGCAAGAAATGCAAGAGAAGAAACTGTCAGAATAGAATTCACAGTTCCATCTAGACAGTTCATTTGTAAAATTATGTAAAACTGGTAATCTAATACCATTACAGGATTGGAATCTGTTATGATGTCTGCTTGACGATTTTAATCCAGGAAGTTTCTAATCTTGTCTCATACTTATATCTTAAATTTTTGGAAATTTTTTTCTCCTTTAAGAAGAAATATGTTCTGTAATCATTCTAAATTTTAACTTCCTAACTCTGTGGAATTTTGGAGATTTTCCAATGAACTTTGAAGTTTTGACTCTCATAATTGAAATGTTGTTTTCTAAAAAGAAACAATAAGAGGTTTTTTTTCACCATGACTACTCCTGTCTACAATGCAAAGACCACCAAAAAGTGGCTTGAGTATCAATTCTACTTGGCTCAAGTTTTGGCCAGGCCAGATTTCAAAACTTATCCCTCTAGACCACTGTTTTGCAACTGGTATTCCTCAGAACTTTAGGTTTCTGCAAGAGGTTACTAGGGGTTCTGCAAGAAACAGAGATAAATAGTCTAATACATTCTTGAGTAATTTTTGTTTAATTATATATCCGTAATTTTACTATACATGTATGGCATAATGTTAGAATAGCCTTGGTTATTCTAATAAAGGCTTCAACCTCTTATATTATTTAAAATTATAATAATCACAGGGAATCTATTAAGCAATGTCTATATAGCATTGGTGTGAAACGACTTTTACTAGTGAGTGGACAGGAAGTTTATGTGGCAGATTTGTGTATTATTATATTACCACATGAAGTACAATCAAAAATATAAAAGAGATAGATATTAAAAATGGTATATAATCATTTTTATGCAGGAGTTTCCTGAGAAATGAAAATTATTTTATGGATTCTACAAGGCTAAAATGGTTGAGAAACCCTGCTTTAGGGAATATTTGGTTACTAGCAGTATAATCTATCTTTGACCAGATCTATCATTACTGGGAATTTTTGCTGTTCAATTAGAGTAGTTTAAAGTCAGCCCACCTGAAAATCAATATTAGTAACAACAATTGGATGCAACTGAGGCACATCCCCAAATGGGGGGGGGGGAGTTAAAAATCTGAATGGGGGGGTCCTGGAAAGGGAACTGTTTAATAATAAATAATATTATTGTAATAATTTAAACTATTTATTTTAATTAAAGTTTTTAAGAAAGATATATATCCAAGAACAGATAGTAAATAGTAAAATGTTGCTGAGAGTTATAATGAAAAGGAAGTAGTGGAGAGTCATTGTCACCAACAATTTGAACTCAAAACAGGCACTGAAGAATTATCAAACAAAAAAAAATTGAAATCAGATGAAAACTGTGGAAATGCATAAACAACATCCGATCACACACACACACACACACTTTGAGAATTATAGATATAGATACATTATTATTTATTATGCCTATTGGTTTCTTGGGGAACATAGGTCTACAACAACACCTCTCCAATGGACATGGTTCTGGATGATCCTCTTCAGCTTGTCTCATGTCGTGCTGGCTGCCTTCACCTCTGCATCAACACTTCTGTGCTAAGTCTGTTTTGGTTGGCCCACTTTTTGCTTCCCTTGTGGACTCCAGTCAAGGGCCACCCTGATGACACTAGAAGCAGGTTTGCAGATTGTGTGTGGCCAATCCATCTCTCTTTCTGTTTCTTGATGTCCACCCCAATTGGGGCTTGTCTGGTCCTGTTGTACAGTTAGTCATTTGAGGCAACTTCTAGCCACCTGATATTGAGGATGTTCCAGAGACATTGTTTGGTAAATGTCTGAAGTTTGTAGGTGCTGGACTTGGTTACCCACCAGGTTTCTGAGCCGTAAAGTAGGACTGACTTGGCATTGGTGTTGAAGATCCAAATCTTGTTGCAAAGTGAGAGGGCTGTTGATCTCCAGATTGGCTGTAGAGTATTTAAAGTGTGTCGGGCTTTGTTGATTCAATACTTGATGTCTTCATCTACCCCCCACCCATCTTTACTGATGATATTTCCCATGTAGACAAACTTATCAACTTGATGTCTTCTTGGTGTAATCACTCTGAATCTTGTTGTCTGTTATACATTAAATAGAAACTAATTTAACTGATTCATTAAATATCTTAAGGCAACAACATTGACACTTTTTTCTGGAAAAAGCTGTCTGCAATCTTATTCAAAATGTTTAAATGTATAAGGAAATTAAAAGGAGAACTATTTCATTCATTTTATCTATTTGTCATGCCTGTCATTTTATCTATTTGTCATGCCTAGCAATCAAAGATTGAGCAAAAAAGACATTGACCTTTCTTTTTCTAAAAAGCTATCTGTAAGCATTTTTAAAATGCGTCTTCTTTTTCTATGTGCCATGTCCCTTTATGATGTTGAAAATCATGGCTCTCCATCACTTCCTGTACTTTGTAGCCCTTAGTAAATTTTGTCTTTTTTCTATATCCCTTAATCCCTGTTCGGCCAATCATTTACACAAGCTTGTTACAGTATTGGTAGGGATTATAGGGAGATCATGGCTCTCCACAACTTCCTGTCCTTTGTAGACCTTAGTAAATTTTGTCTTTTTGCTATATCTCCTAATCCCTGTTCAGCCAATTGTTTACAGAAGCTCGTCACAGCATTGGTAAAATTATAGGGAGATCATGGCTCTCCATCACTTCCTGTCCTTTGTAGACCTTAATAAAGTTTTTTTTTTTTCTATATCTCTTAATTCCTGTTCTGCCAGTCATTTACACATGCTCGTTACAACATTGGTAAGATTATAGGGAGATCATGGCTCTCCACGACTTCCTAGCCTTTGTGGACCTTAGTAAATTTTGTCTTTTTTCAATATCTCTTAATCTCTGTTCTACCAATCATTTACACAGGCTTGTTATACAAAGTTATACACTGCTTTCCTCTGTCTTATCTTCAATCTGTCCTGTGAGTATCAAATTTTCCAAATCCTCTTTCCTCATTATGTGCCCTAGAAAATTCGACTGTCTCTTCCTGATGTTAAGTATAAGTTTCCTTTTTGTTTCTCTTTTCACTAAAACTTTCTCACTGCTCACATGTTCTGTCAGTGGTATTCTCAGCATCCTTCTGTAGAACAACACTTCTGTTGCCTTGTCTCTTCTTCACCTGTGAGAAGATTGTCCAACATTCACTGCCATATAGTAGGACTGATATTGCATAACAGATGGGCATTTTAAAAGTATATACAAATATGTACTAAAAAGTATATACAAATATGTATTAAAAGGTATATACAAATATGTACTAAAATATAAAACAAAGGGGAAGAAGATGAAGGATAAGAAAGAAATTACTCATTGTAAATTAGTGGATAAAGATAATGAAATAGCAAAAAAAGGACTAACGAGTTATTACTCCTCACCCTTCAGAGCTCAATCAAGGACAAAAAAAGTGTATAATGACTCAATGTGTATAACTAATTCTTGAAGCTTTAATAAAATTTTGTAGCTGCCCACATATTATTTAAGTATTTTACAGACCAGTGATCCTGAAGAATTAATTAAAAAATTAGATATTCAAATCAGAACAGTTTTCTTCAACAGATTATTTTTAAAGCTTTCTTTTGAGAATCATGTTTGCTTTGTGAATTATTGGTTTTCACATATCAATGGTACAAGCCTAAATAATAACTGAATTGATATTTAATGTTGCATACATACATACATACATACATACATACAAGACTGTGTGTTTTTCTAATTGATTGATTGATTTGTTTTTTACAACTTATTCACTCTTTCCAAGTCATTTAAAGCCAGAAAATATTTTTAGATTGTAAGAATTTTTTTGAGATAATAATTTTTTAGGGATACAGGTCCTACTAATTAATCCATAGCTGTGGGGAGAATATGTGGATTCAAACCCTTTCCAAGAGTATTTATACATAAGTGAATATAACAAACCTTGACTGGAATTGAAACTCAGCTCTTTGATTAACAATTCTGAGCTATTATCCATTATACTATACACACACCATGTTACAGCACCTGATATTCCCTAATGGTCACCCACAGAGGTACTGACCAGGCTCAATGCTGCTTAACTTCTCTGACCATACAGGAACTGGTGTTTCCATGTGATGTAGCTATAGACCTGTGTTTTTTTTTTATTGAGGCAGAACCAGGATTAATCTGACACAAAGCAAGGTGGATCCCACCTGACAAAGGATTTGTTATAATAATTTGAGGAAAAAGGTTTTATAAGGCCAGGTACTCTTTCTGATGCCCATCTCATAGAAGGTTGCCACTAAAGGCTTGAGACCAAATCCTAGCCTTATATATATCGTGATTTAGTAATCGTAGCTTAGTTATGACACATATGGTGATTTTCTTAGTGTAGCTTAGATTTGAAACAAGGCCATAGGTATGGAGCACCCAATGAGGATCAAACTCACTGTTCAGTCCTAATTGTTCTAATAAGACAAGCTTGCTAACAATTACACCATGTTGAGGTGCCCACAGCATCTCAAAATGCAGACATGAAAACAAATTTTTGCTACGTTACTTAAAAAAACAGAAAAAATAAAACAAAATAAAAATAAATAAATAAATAAACAAAATATCAATAAAATAAGCAAAATTAATTAACCCAAACAAATTACCAAATCACACCTGTTAGAATAGATGAAATAGAATTAAAAAAAAACCCAAAATACCAATGAACCCAAATAAATAAATAATAAAAAATTAGCAAACCATTATGACCAAAATATTAGTTAGACTATAAAAATCAAAACAAAAAATCGGACAAAAAAAATAGCTATAACTGTTATATAACGATAAAAAAAATACTACGTTACTTAAAAATCAAAAACCGCAAAGAGAAAATATACAGTATAACAAATAAATAATAACAAGTAAAATAAATTGACCTAAATTCATCCAAATAAATAAAAAAAAACTAATTCTGATAAACTAACTGTTAGAAAAAAACAAATAAATATAATCAATCCAAATAAATAAATGAAGTAATAAACAAATTAAAAACAGTTCCCGACAAAATAATAGTTAGAATAAACTACAGCAATCAACCCCAAAATTGAATAAATAGCTTTAATTATCTTCCCAAACCAAAACTATTAAATAAGTGATATAAACAAATTTTTACTATGTTAATAAAAAGACCTATTAAAAAAAAATAAAAAAATAAAAAATAAATAAATAAATATATAAGATAAGAAATAAAAATAAAAAAATAAAAATAAGAAATAAAATTAAATAAAAACAAGCAAAACAATTTAACCCAAATAAATAAATAAACAAATAAACAACTTCCAGTAAAATAACCGCCAAAATAGACTACCACAATGCACCACTGAACCATATATATATATAAATAGCCGAAAAAAATAACAGCACTCGTGGCCTGACGATTGCATCTAGCATGAAGCAGACTGTCACCTCTAAGTGTTGACTTCTATTTTTACTTTTATATTTACACACACTCTATCTCTGATATTGAGCACTTTATCCTATAAATATAGCACATCTTAAGACTATATTTCTTCATATTATATATATATATATATTATATATATATTTATTATACATATATATATATATATATATATTTATATATATATATATATATATATATATATATATTTATATATATATATATATATATATATATATTTATACATATATATATATATTTATACATATTATATATATATATATATATATATATATATATATATATTTATACATATTATATATATATATAGATATATATTTATACATATTATATATATATATATATTAAAGACATTTTTATGTTTAACGTTCTTTTTTATAGATACAAGTATTTAAGTAAATGCTCTGTTTATAATAAACAGTATTAAATAACATTTACCAGCCTGAATGTCCGAGAAATTTTCATAGAAAATATTCGTCCTTTGACAGGATTCGAACCTGCATCCTATACGGAAACGTCATTTATGCTGACGTGCCTTACCGTATCGGCCACAAAGGAGCATTCGGTAGACAAGGTCGAATTTACTGCTTATAAACTTCAATTTTCCATGAATCTCGTACATTCATAACTGCTCTGGCATATCAAATGTAAACAAATGACGTCAAATATTAAGAAATGGACAAAGTCCGACAATTTATTTATTAAAGACATTTTTATGTTTAATGTTCTTTTTTATAGATACAAGTATTTAAGTAATTTATAGTTATGAATGGCCGAGATTCATGGAAGATTGAAGTTTATAAGCAGTAAATTCGACCTTGTCAGGATTCAACGCCTTTGTGCCCGATCAGCGTAAATGATGGTTCCAGATAGGATGCAGGTTCGAATCCTGTCAAAGGACAAATATTTTCTATGAAAATTTCTCGGACATTCAGGCCGGTAAATGTTATTTAATACTGTTTATTATAAACAGAGCATTTACTTAAATACTTGTATCTATAAAAAAAGAACGTTAAACATAAAATGTCTTTAATAAATAAATTGTCGGATTTTTGTCCATTTTTTTATATATATATATATATATATATATATATATATATATATATATATATTTATACATATTATATATATATATTTATACATATTATATACATATATATATATATATTATATAATATAAGTTGTGTTTATATGAGAGATTTCACGCTTTTTGCTATCGTCAGACAAACTAGTTTATTTTTTAAAATTGAATCTACTTATGCTTGTTTGACTATGTTTGGTGACAGAAGGGGGAATATACTTCTGTGTTTGTTTGGGGTGGTACTGTCCTATGCATAGGCACATACATACAGTTGTATGCATTTTAGTTCACACCAACACATCCATATAAGCAACTTGAGGCTAGGTGCATTTGGCATATATATATATATATATATATATATATATATATATATGCAGTTGTAATTCTATTTCAGTGTCAACACCTTAGCTTTTTATGTGTGCCAATGTTCATTTCAACATGGACCAGGTAGGGATATCCTTGACACTTTTCAAATCTAACACATGGACTGTAAGAGAAACTTATACTTCCTGACACACACACACACACATACAAACATGTGTAGATGTGCATATACACTATCATTGGTTTGGGCCTTTTCACCACCACTTTGGTTAAGCTGGGATGTGTTTGTGGTTATGGTGATGATGATGTGTTTATTTTCAATGCTAACTGCTTGTGTGTTGTTGATGGTTGTGATTATGCTGGTAGTTGTGATATTAATTATTATTGATAACACATCAATACCTATTATGAACATTATCATGTTAGCTCTATCACTGATATTGAGCACTTTTCACTAAGTACCCACATATATATATATATATATATATATATATATATATATATGTATGTATATATATATATATATATATATATATATATATATATATATATTTTAGCAATGCTTGTAAATGGAATAAACACTAATACTATTCAATCAGCACAAAAACTACATCTTTAACTGTTAAACCTGAAAAGAAATTAATCACATCTAAAACAAACCTCTTTGAAAATGCCTGAAGAAGTGACCAAAAGCACTTGGGACAATGAAAAATACGGACAATTTTTGCACTCCATTACTCCCACCAAATGGAAAATGTTTAAAAACTAAATAAAAAATTTAGCAAATTTCCCTTGTGTGCCATATTCAATGAAATATTTTTAAAAGAAAGGTTGCTGCCAAATATACATTATATATATATATATATATATATATGTATATATTTATTAATATTAATTAAACCTTTGAATGTGAGATCAGAAATTATGATCCATTGCCTGCACACTAAAAAATTCCTTTTGAGTTTGTATGAACTGGGATGAAAAGAAAGTATGTACATTTCATTTAACCCCTGACCAAATCATTTCCAATACCCTTGCTTTTCTCCTTTTCCTCCTCCCTTTCTGTCACACTTTATATTGTGTGTTTATTTATTTTTAAATTAATAATGCATTCATTAAATTTAAAAAAAAAAAAAGCATTAGGAAATCAATTGACCAAAATCACTTGAAGATACCAAAAGTGTCAAACCAAATTAATGGAATTGGCTGATCTCCTAATTTTATATATATATATATATATATATATATATATATATACCCAAGTATATAATTGGTGTATACGGAATGAATTTAATAACCAACAATTACTATTCTTAAAAAAGTGCCTCAATACAAAGTAGGGAGATATTAATTATTATTTATAAAAAATTATAACATAAGTATGTTATAAAATCACTACAAAAATAGCCATTTTGTTTCAACACCCTCGGTGTCTTATCAAGTGATGATGTTGAAGATAAAATAAATGGTTTTAAAAGTTTCAGATTAATTAACGATCCTACACTAGGGGGAAACATTGTTACAAAAGCTAGAATAACCAATCAAAAACCAAGTATAGAAAGATTCAAAAGCTTGACAACGAAATCATGTTATAATAGCTATTCAGATCTTTAAAATATACGGGTAATATTAAAAATAATTTATACTAACCAATAATTATAAAATTATATGATAAAATTTAATATTAAAATTAAAAACTGGCAATTTTAAAATCCAAATTTAATCACTATTAAGTTTAAAAACTACAAAATTATTGAGAAAAGAAAAAATACATTTATTCAATTTATTTCTTCGTTGAAATTACGTTCGACAAGACGCTACAATATATCCGGTCATTTGACAATACATGTATATATATTTTTTATTCTAAAGTGTGTGAATGTGGTCTTAAACTCATGCGCAAAACAACAAAAAACACAATCAGATTATAATACATAAGCACCCAGACATATTTAGATATATATATATATACACACAACAAAAAAAAAAAAAAAAAAAAAAAAAGGCAACGAGACAGGAACATCACTACAACCCTTTATGAAAAAAGGAAATGGGGAAACCAACACCTATACACACACACAATTAAATGTGAATGCACTCTACATACACATAGACACCGATAGATACACGTACACACATCCACATACATTGACCTTGACAATCAGATACCACAACATTTAAGACTTAAAGTATCATTAAATAAATGCTAACCACTTATTAAATTATAACTTAAGGGAGCAAATATACAAAGATAAA